AGCCAAGCCACCTGCACCAAGCCAGCTCCAGACCCGCTCCCTGGAGCGGTGACGCCCAGCCTGGCCCAGGAGCTCCCTGGCCATTCGGTGCTTGGCCAGTAGCCGTGGCAGTGGTGCCACCGCTGTCCACTCCCCCAGCAGGAGCACAGCCCTGGCTGGTCCCTCGCCAGCCCTCGCCCGCAGCGTGGGCATGGCGCCAGGTCAGTCACCAAAAATACTCGTGAACTCATGAGAGTGACACAGTTTCTCCTCTCAGGGAGGCTGGGCTGAGCTCACTGTGTCCTTTTGGCAAGCGCCAGCCCAGTGCTGCCATAGGATGGTCAGCCATGGGAGCCTGCCACCTCCTCCTCCTCCTCCTCCTCCTGCTGCCTCCACAGCATCCCCCCCCTCCGGGCTCTGGGCGCTGAGCACCTGAGCAGGTCTCAGCCAACACAGCTGCTGAAAATATACAGCTCTATTCTCGCCTGTCCTTCCTCACCTTTTTCTTGTGGGAGGAGGCACAAGGCCTCAGTGGCTTTGCTGTCTCAGTGTGGGGGAACAGGTCTGTCCATCCCTGCCTTGACAGGGCTTTGGATCCAGCCCTGGAGAGGAATGTACAGGGGCCACTGCTGGTGGGGAGGCACTGCATGTGCCTCTGTGAGCACCAAGCACCTTTGCCCTCTTTCTGCAAGCACTGGGCATGGGCCCCAGCCTGGAGGAGCTGCTGCCAGCCTGTGCCTTGGCCTGGGAGGCAGCTCCTCCTGCAAAACCAGCCTGGGATTGCCCAGCCATAGCAAGGCCTGGAGAAACCTGGAGGGTGGGAGTGGGTGGGCAGCCCCCATGATGCTTTGGTGTGGAAAAAGAAGAGTTTTACTCTGTGAGGAAACCTGGGTGCGTTTCTCTTGGAATTCTGGCTGGGTTGACTCAGCAGGACACTGCAGCCCCAAAATAGCTCTTGCCTGAGAAAGAGTTTCCTTTCCCTTTGCTCTGAGCTGGCGGAGCTGAGCCCCTGCCCGATGGCTGCACCCAGCCCTGGCCATGGGAGTGATGGCCCTGGCCCTGTTCGGGGGGCTGCGCTGGGGATGTTCCATGGGAACATTTCCTTTCTTCAGTATTTGTGTTTCCTGAGCAAACCCCGTGCCAGGGAATGTCTGAGCAGTGGTGGGGCTGGGTGTAAAGCCCTTCAGCAGAAATGCTCTGATACCCTTGTCTGAAAAGATTTGCTTTGCTGATGTTTCTCAGGGGGGTAAGAGGCTTGGGCAGGTTCCCAGCTGCAGCCAAAGCATTTCCTGGTAGCTCTGGCATGCCCCAAGACTAGCTCGGCCATGGGAGGAAGAGAAGGAAGTGGTGGTGCTTTTTGTTTTACTTCTTTACTGCTTCCCTGCCACTCTCATTAAGGATACTAGTTTATACCTTTTTTTCCCTCATTATGATATCAAAACTATGCTGAGGACCAACCTCTGCCAGGCAGGGATAGGGGACAGGGACCATGTGAGATGGGGTGGGTGCCTCAGCAGAGCCCCTGCGGGACACAGGTGAGCCCTGGGGCAGGGGTGGTGGGTGGTGACACCTGCACAGCCCTCCCTCACGGCACAGATGAGGCAGCACTCACCCGTCTCGACGTTGAAGGCGAGTTTGTCCACCTCCTCCTCGTAGCCCCGGCCAGAGAAGCGCAGGGTGATGGTGAAGGGCTGTCCCCGCCGCACCACCAGCTGCTGGCACCCCATCTCTGCCGTCCGGTGCTCCCGCCCGTTGCGCTCGCACTGCAGGTCGCATGTCTCCAGCACCAGATCTGTGAAGGCAGCAGCGTGTACAGCTCTGCCCCTGGCCCTGAGACCAGCCGAGCACACAGACCCCATACTCAGGCAGGAGCGGTGGCTGTACCTGCCCCAAGCCCTGAGTGTGGACTTTGGTGCTGGGTCTGGCAGTGTCCCCCACTCACACTACCCTGTGCTCCCAGAGGTGCCCGGTGCAGCCCTGGGTGCTGTGGCTGTGCCAGGCTCCAAATGTCCCTCTTGGAGGGCACTGTGGCCATATCAGACTCTGAGCATCCTTCCAGGAGGACTCTGCAGGCTGGTGTTGTGAGAGGGGCACAGCTTTGGCAGATGAGCTTGTAGCAATGCACTGCCCTCCCGACCCAGCCCTGTGCCGTGTTCTTGTGCTATGGAGCTGCCTCCGTGTTATCACCATGGAGGAGGAACACCGTGTGTTGCCAGACCTGTGCCAGGCCCGTGGCTCATAGCACCCAACACTGGAGCAAAGCCAGCTCTGCTCTCAGGCAGCCTGTCACCAACACTGCTGCCTGTATGTCCCCACCCCAAGTGTGTGCTGCTGAGCCCAGGAATGTCTGGGACATTTCTGTGCATTGGGCAAGCCTCTGTCAGCTTTACTGTGCTGTGACTGCAGACAAATTGGTGAAAGCAAGTGTAAATTTAGTGACAGAGGGTGTGTGACGTCCCAGATGTGTGTGTGCAGTTCTGCTCTGATCCCAGCCAGTGGCTGTGTCCCCACCACCCTGGGCACTGTGCTGGAGCAATGAAATGTCATTCATCATCGCTTGAGGCCAGTGACCCCTGACTGCTCTGCAGTGGCACATTAGTCAGCACAAGTGTTCTGTGCAGGAGAGCACGCGTCGACCTCAGTGCCAGTCAGGGACTAGGGTGGCTCAAGGGGGCGATGCTCAACTTGCCACCCTGTGCCTTGGCTCTCCCCAGCCATGCCCTTCCTGGTGCCAGTCCTGGTAGTCACTGAGCCACCTTCGGGCCAGTGCCAAATGGAAACAGCTGCTTGTGAGCTCGTTGTTCCCAGAGCTAAGTTAAAATGGTGCTCTGGGCTCTCTGGGCAAGGTAACTCAGCAGTATGTGCCTGGTGGAGGGCAGTGGGCTTGCCACCAACCCTACCACACTGCAAGAGCTGCTGGGACTGTCCATAACTAAGGGCAAGCTCCCTGCAGCCAGCCCATGGGGGTCCTGGAATGGGGAGAGAGCACAGAGAGGTCCTTTCCCTCACTGCCTTGCTTTCCGTGAGCAGAAGCACAGCTCTGTGCTATGGCACACGGACTGTATGGGTGGAACCTCGCTAACGTGGAGCCAAACACATAGTGAGTGTGTTCAGAGAACAGGACCAGGGTTCCTCCTTGCCCAGTCACCCCAAGTTAGCACCCTCAACAGATTTAGCAAAAAGCAGATTTCTCAAAGCACAGGTACCTCTACCAAAAGCAGTGTGTGCCAAGAGATGGGTGGGGAGGAGGATGCAGTGCTGCAAGCAGAAGTGGGGTCCTAGGCACCCAGGAGCAGGAGCTGCTCGGTGTGCAGCAGCTCAGCTTTGTGCCTGTGTCTGACCTGAGGGACCCGTGTTGGTATTGCTAGAGTGGTGCCGGGAGCCAGGACAGCCCGCGGCACTGTGGGACAGCAGAGCACAACGATGCTGTCTCACCTGGAGGGCTGTGTCTGCGGGTATCACACAGGCTCGTTTCTTGGGACTTTGGGGGCAGTTTTGTGGGAGATGGGAGCTGTCTCTGCCCCGAAGTCCCATGCGAGAAGGACTCCCGAAGTGCAGAAACTTTGTTTCTACCTGATCCTCCTGAAATCCCCTAACCCTGACAGGACACGGGCACATGCTCCCGGCCCAGCTGTCCACTCTCCTCTCCGGGAAAGCTTTAAATAGCACCAAACTTTACGCGTACTGGCGTGGCTCGGTCCAGCGGAGAGTTGGGAGGGAGGGAAGGGCGCAGACCCGCGTGGACCTCACACGGACCCGCACGGGGCTTGTCGCCGGTTTAGGCTTTCCCGTTCCTCATCGCCTTTTGGCTGA